CGGTGCGTTTCGTTTCGGTTCGGATTCGCCCCCCGATTGGTTCGTCCCCCTTCGTATCTGAATCGGCTCTTGAGTTCGAGCTCAGCCAGCTGTGGGCGAACCATGCGCCTAGGCAGCTTGAGCTTAAGATCCATGTCAGCTCGGACAGGATTTGGTGTCAAGGATTGTTTGATCCACAACGCAACCAGCGAAATCTGACAGTTCAGCAGTGCATGACGCAGCGCAGTGAAGTCCAGCACGTGTCAATTGCAATTCACGCCACATCGCGGCCCTGGTTATTTGCGAGGCGCCTTGGCACCTCGGAGTGCGGCTCCCTCGCCATGCTACGCCATGCAGTTTCAGGATGGTGAAGCGTATTCGGCTTTCCCAGTCTTGGTTTGTCTTGCCTCGCTTCGGGTCGTGTCGGTTCGGCCTTTGTCTCGGCTTGTATCGTTTCGGTTCGTCGTGATGCAGTTTTTCCCGGAAAGGGCATGAGCCCAGACTTCTTTTTTCCTGACAGGGCCTTCGCCCAGGGTTCTCTTTTAGAAGGCAAGCCCTTTGTGCCCCCCAGCGCCATGCTTGAAAGAGCCCAGCGAATTCCCGCTCGATGTATTCAAGGTGCGATTCCATTTTGGGTGTTTTTTTCTTTTTTTTTTTTTTTTTTTTTGTGTTTCGCGCGTGCTCGCTTGTGGAAAGTGTGCCACCCATCTCGGATCCTCGATGCCTAACGGGGTCCGCAGACTCCCGTTTTCCTTGGGAGAAATTATCCAGGCGAAGGACCCAACCATATGAAGTTGTGAGTAACGCGTTGTGTGTGTGTGTGTGTGTGTGTCGCTTTCGGTGGAGCTCCCTATGGGGCCACGAAGCGCGTGAGGGACGTGCCGTAATGGGTGGGGGAGACGAATGCGGGCGGTGCCACTGGGGCCTTCGGTGGGGCTCTGTATGGGCCACGAAGCGCTGTCCTGGGTGTGGCTGACGCATGTGGCCACCCCCACTGGGGCCGCAGATGGAGTTCCCGATGGGGCCAGGAAGCGCTGTACTGTGTGTGGCGGACGCATGTAGCCACCCCCACTGGGGCCTTAGGTGGCGTTCCCTATGGGGCCACGGAACGCTGTACTGGTTGTGGCGGACGCATGTGGCCACTCCCACTGGGGCCTTGGGTGGAGCTGCCGATGGGGCCACCGAACGCTGTAGTGGGTGTGGCGGACGCATGTGGCCACCCCCACTGGGGCCTTAGGTGGAGTTGCCTATGGGGCCACGAGGCTCTGTACTGTGTGTGGCGGACGCATGTGGCCACCCCCACTGGGGCCTTAGGTGGAGCCCACTTATGGGGCCACGAAACGCTGTACTGGGTGTGGCGGACGTATGTGGCCACCCCCACTGGGGCCTTAGGTGGAGTTGCCTATGGGGCCACGAAGCACTGTACTGGGTGTGGCGGACGCATGTGGCCACCCCCACTGGGGCCCCAGAGGGAGCTCCCTACTGGGCCACGAAGCGCTGCACTGGGTGTGGCGGACGTATGTGGCCACCCCCACTGGGGCCTTGGGTGGGGCTCCCTATGGGGTCACGAAGCGCCGTACTGGGTGTGGCGGACGCATGTGGCCACCCCCACTGGGGCCCCAGAGGGAGCTCCCTATGGGGCCACGAAGCGCTGCACTGGGTGTGGCGGACGCATGTGGCCACCCTTACAGGCCTTAGGTGGAGTTCCCTATGGGGCCACGAAGCGCTGCACTGTGTGTGGCGGACGCATGTGGCCACCCCACTGGGGCCTTAGGTGGAGTTCCCTATGGGGCCACGAAGCTCTGTACTGTGTGTGGCGGGCGCATGTGGCCACCCCCACTGGGGCCTTGGGTGGAGCTTCCTATGGGGCCACGGAACGCTGTACTGGGTGTGGCGGGCGCATGTGGCCACCTCCACTGGGGCCTTGGGTGGAGCTCCCTATGGGGCCATGGAACGCTGTACTGGGTGTGACGGGCGCATGTGGCCACCCCCACTAGGGCCTTGGGTGGAGCTCCTCGCGGACGCATGTGGCCATCCCCATTGGGGCCCTGAATGGAGCTCCCTATGGGGCCACGAAGCGCTGTACTGGGTGTGGCGGACGCATGTGGCCATCCCCACTGGGGCTTTTGGTGGAGCTCCCTATGGGGTCACGGAACGTGTGAGGGGTGATGATCGTGGCGATGATGCTGATGATGGGGAGAGGGAGGGGAGGGGCAGCGGGAGGGAGGAGTCGCGGGGACCGTCTCTTCAAAACGAGGACCCAACACCACAGGATGGTTGGGAAAAACAAGGTGCGGTGCGTTTTGCGCAGAGTCTTTATTACATATCCATGTCCACAAATTTACAGAACATGAGAGACTGTTGAATTTTGCCGTGCCCGCTCGAGGACGGCGCGTCCTGCGCGCAGACTTCTCGAGGATGCCTCGAGCGAAGCGCTTGTTTTGCAGAACTTCCGGGCCTTTGGCGCCCAGGATGCCCCAGAGGGTCTGGGAGTGCGGTCGCACCGTCGTCTACGAGGGATCGTGGCCATGGGAGCGCAGTCGCTGGGTGATTCACGAGGGCTCCTGGCCCTGGAAGCGCGGACGTATCGCGATCTACAACGGGTCGTGGCCCTGGGAGGGCGGACGCACCGCAAGTTCTAGGCATCGTGGCCCCTGGAGCGCGGACGCGGCGCAATATTTGCGAGGGCTTGTGGCCGTGGGAGCGCGACGTCTGCGTTCTTTGCAACATTGGAACGCTGCCCTCGGAGCGCGAATCCAGGGCAAGTTGCAAGGGAACTTGGCCCCGGGAGCGCGAAGCTAGCGTGATTCACTCTAGGCTCCAGGGCCGCAGACACTGCGATTTACAGCGGATGCTGGCCCTGGGAGCGCGGGCACGGCCTGATTTGCGATGCATTATGGCCACGGGAGCGCGGGCGCAGCGTCATTTGCGAGGGATCGTGGCCCCGGGAGTGCGCACGCATGGTTCTTTCCCACGTATCGTGGCCCTGGGAGTGCGGGCGCCGGGATCGTGCCCTGAGAGTGCGGACGCAGCACAATTCACGAGGGATCGTGGCGCGTAATCTGCGAAGGAACGTGGCCCTGGGAGCGCGAACCCAGTGTAATTTGCAAGGGGTCTTGGCCCTGGGAGCGCGAACCCAGCGTCATTTACGAGGTCCCGCGCCTTCGGGTCCAGCAGCGAATTTTGCAGGGAACGGCGGGGGGGCCGAGCAGCGCCACCTGAACACGTATCCTAATGGAGAGAAGCATGGTTTTCTGCTCTGGAGGGGTGGGGCTCTTCTAGGCTATCTCCGCGGAGTGCTTCTTGGCCCTGGGGGCGCGGACGCAGCGTAATTTACGAGGGATCGTGACCCTCGGGCATGTTCCCTGGCACGTTCGCTGGCGCTTCCCCTATCACGTCGCGCGGCGCGTCCCCTAGCACGTCCCCTGGTACGTCTCCTGGCACGTCCGCTGGCACGTTCCGTGGCGCGTCCCCTGGCACGTTCGCTCCGTGGCGCGTCCTTTAGCGCGTCCCCCTGGCACATCGCGCGGCGCATCTTCTGGCACGTCCCCTGGCACGTCCATTGGCGTGTCACTGAGCGGCGTGGTACAGCGCAGAGAAGCACAACACAGCCCCTGGCACAGTAGCATCACCATTGATATCTTCAGCATTGCCACTGCCCATCGTCCACTTGAGGTGCTTGGAAACGTCCCGAGGCCTTGCAGTTCTAAATCTCTTTCCGGGTTCGTGGGCCGATCATGTTAGTGCTTTGGGCACGTTGCGCGGCGCGTCCCCTGGCACGCCCCCTGGCACGTCCGCTGGCACGTTCCATCGCGCGTTCCCCTGGCACGTTCCGTGGCGCTTCCCGTATCGCGTCCCCCTGGCACATCGCGCGGCGCGTCGCTTGGTACGTCCCCTGGCACGTGCAAGGCAGGTTCAGAGGCGCGCTCCCTGACACGCCACTGTGCGGCGCGGCACAGCGCAGGACAGCACGGCATAGCCCTTGGCACAGCATCACTCCAATTGATATCTTCGGGATTGCCAACGCACATTGCCCCATTGAGATGCCTGGAGACGTGTGCATGCCTCGCGGCTCTGCATCTCTCTTTCCAGGCTCGTGGGTCGATCTTGTCGGGCTATTCTTGTGGGCTATCCTTGCTCCCCCCCCTCCTCCTCCTCCTCCTCCTCCTCCTCCTCCTCCTCCTCCTCCTCCTCCTCCTCCTCCTCCTCCTCTTATTCTGCAGCGATCACGTCGGGCTGTTCCCGTGGGGGGCCCCTCGCCGCTGCGGCGGGCGCCGCCTCGGCGCCCTGGCCGGAGCGCACCCGAGGAGAGGCCCCGGGAGCAGCACGGCAGCAGGTCCGCGCCGCGCTGGCGCGGTGGAGACCCCCGCGCGGGCGTTCCCGCTTCGAGGCCGCCGGCGGCCCCCCTCGGCCGACGCCCTCACGGCCTGCGCCGTCGGGGCGCCGCGCTCGTGACGCCTCGAGCGGCCCACGCCGTGCCGGAAAACGCAGAGCTCGAGGCGGTCAGGGCGCGAGCCCGCCGTTGGAATTCTGTGCGCCCAGCTCGGGAGGTCTCCGTGGCCCTCGGAGGCGCTCTCGGAGGCTCTCCAGGCCTCTCTCTGGCGTTGCCTGGAGGCCTGCAGCGTCTTCGGGGGCCACAGGGCCGAGAGGGCGTTCCGAGATTCAGTTGCTCGATCCTCCTCCTCCTCCTCCTCCTCCTCCTCCTCCTCCCTCCCTCCCTGCCTGCCGAGGCTTAGGACGATGGACTTCCCAGGCGGGGGATGTGCAGACATCCCGCAGAGCTGTGCGTAGCCCGCCCAGCTTTTACCGGAAGGGGTTCGCTCTCGCCCCGCAGACCAAAACAAAAAAGATGTGCAGACATCCCAGCCTCGCACTCCTCGATCCAGGCAGGAAGCGTCGCGGGTGTTTGGCAGGTTTCTGCTCCCCGGGAGGAGTCTGCTGGCGGCCTCCACGGCCTTGGAGACGCTCGGCGTTCGCCGCCCGCCCCCAGCGTCTGGTTCTCGCCCCGGACGCACCAGCGGCGCGAGCAAAGGCCAGGACGGCCCCGGCAGGCAGAGACCGCGCAAGAGGCCCGCCCCACTTGCCTGAAGTCGGGCATGTCCAACAAATCGCCTGGGGACGTTTTTTTTTTTTTTTTTTTTTTTTTTTTTTTTTTTTTTTTTTTTTTTTTTTTTTTTTTTTTTTTTTTTTTTTTTTTTTTTTTTTTTTTATATATATAAATATTAAAAAAAACTCTCTCTCTCTTTTTTCATATAATATATATTTATATGCATATATATATATATATATATATCTATGTATATATACACATATTTATATATATCTATGTATATATATATATATATATATATATATTAAGCAAATAATATGGAATATTTTTGGTTTCTGTTGTTGTCATTTTTTTGTCCCTTCTGAAATCCGCCTGTAGGACTGCAGGAGGACATGCCCGACCCGATGCTCGGGCCCCAGCAGGCTCGATCCGCTCCCGGGGGCAATCCTTTGTCCCGAGTGAGCTTCTGTTTTGTGCCAGGGCTCAGGCGTGGCCCTCGAGGGCCGACGTGACGGGACACGGACTGCAAGAGATCGGCCCTCGGGAAGACCGCCCCAGGGCTGCCCCGACACTCCTCCAGACGGGGCACGGAGTCGATCCGCCGGAGTCTCGGTTCGCCGGAGGAGGAGGAGGAGGAGGAGGAGGAGGAGGAGGAGGAGGAGGAGGAGGAGGAGGAGGAGCAGGGAGGAGGAGGGATGAGGAGGGAGGAGGAGGGAGGAGGTGGGAGGAGGAGGCGGAGGAGGAGGGAGGAGGAGGGATGAGGAGGGAGGAGGAGGGAGGAGGAAGATGAGGATGAGGATGAGGATGAGGGAGTCTCTCGGTTCGCCGGGGCTCGCCTCGCTGGGGCTCGTTTCGCCAGGGCTCGCTTCGCTGGGGCTCGTCTCGCCGGGGGCTTCCCTTCGCGGGGCACGCGGAGGATCCGGAGGGGGGGGGAGGGTCACCAGCCTCGAGCGTATCCCTATCCCTAAGGTTGAGACGCTAGAAGGAGATGACAATCTCAGGGATACACCCTCAGAAGCTGAGGAAATCCCTGAGATCGCCATCGTGATGAGGCGATGCCCAACATAGGGATGGGGTTATGTTCCAGGCTGGTAAGAGGGGGAGGGGCAGGCGGGCGACCCTAACGGGCGGGTCGGGTCGGGCGGGTGGACCACAGCGGGCGAGTCGGGTCGGGCGGGCGGACCCTGACGGGCGGGTCGGGGGTCGGGCGGGCGGGACACAAAGTACGACGCATCATCGAGTCAGAACGGGCGGATCGTGTCGGGCGGGCGGATCCCAATGGCCAGGTTTGGTCGGGCGGGCCGACTCCAAAGGGATGGTCGGGTCGGGCGGGCGGAGCCGGGCGAGTCGAGACTCGGGCGAATCGAGACTCGGGCGAATCGAGCCTGGGCGAATCGAGCTGGTCGAGTGGAGACTCAGGCGATTCGAGCCCTGGACGAAACGAGCCAGGCGATTCGAGCTGGGCGATTTGAGCTTTGGGCGAATCGAGACTCAGGCGATTCGAGCCCTGGACGAATCGAGCCGGGCGATTCGAGCCCTGGGCGATTCGAGCCCTGGGCGATTCGAGCGGGGCGATTCGAGCCCTGGGCGAATCGAGCCAGGCGAATCGAGCCCGGGCGAATCGAGCCGGGGGAGTAGAGCCTACGCCCCAGACGGTTCAGACCCGCCGCACTGGTCCTACACGTGGCTGGGCACTGTTGGGGATGCGGCGCAGCACCGCCTGCGCGGAGCCCGCGAGAGACTCATCTGAGCCTTCGGGCCGCAACTGTTCCAGGAAAGGGTGGGGGCCCTGGGTTTCTCTTGGTTGGTAAACCTGTCCCTGGTCCTAATCATCTGAAGTAGGGTTGGCGAATGTCCATTCGATAGAAAAAGGTGTAAAGTCGCATTCGGTGCAGGAGAAATATGCGTTTTGTGCGTGTCCCCTCGAGAAAAGTGTGCCCCCCACTTCGGATCCTCAGTGAATAACAGGGTGCGCAGGCTCGTCTGGATTGTCTGGGGGGTTGTCCGTTTTTAGGATGATCGGATTTTTCCATTGAACGTCGTATTTACAAATAGGGTGCGGAGCATTTTGCGCAGAATCCTCGACCAGAAGGTCCTAAACTATTTCGTGGAGTTGGAGGTTCTCGACCATACGGCCCTAGCAGCGTTTTGTGCATGTGCGGAGGCGTTAAGACCTCACATAACCTGTGACAATGTCATGCTTTTGTGCGCCCGCTTGAGGACGGCGTGTCCAGCGCGCAGAATGATCGAGGACGTCTCGAGCGAAACGCTTGTCGTGCAGACCTGGAGGGGCCTGGGCGCCCCAGGATGCCCGAGTGGTTCTGGGAGTGCAGCCGCATTGTTATTCGCCAGGGATCGTGGCCACGGGAGCGCGGACGCCGCGTAATTTGCGAGGGGCGTGGTCCTCAGAGCGCGGACGCTGTGGAATTCGCAGGAGGGATCGTGGCTCTGGGGGAGCGGACGCAGCGTCGTTCACGAGAGATCGTGGCCTTGGAAGCGCGGGCGCGCAGCGTTCCGAGCTTGCCAGCTGTAGCCTTGGACGTCGAGCGGCCCTTCCGTCTGCGCTCGCGAGCAAAAACGTATCCCCACCAGCGCATGCCCGGCGTTCGACTCGTTTCGCGGGCCCGCGTACCAAAAGTATCCTCACCAGCCTACCCAGAAACGGATCGCTAGGCGAGCTGTCTTCCTCAGGGAAGTGTAGAAACATGCACTGTAACAACCGCCCTGGCAGTGTTTTCCCGGAGGTGTCTTGGAGCCGTCATGGGTCTTTCTCGGGGTGTTCGCGGAGCTACTTGGGGCACCTTCGGTCATCTTCGGTCATCTTCGGTTATCTTCGGTCCATCCTCAAACACTTTCGATGGCCAGCCCTGCTCGAGCAACTTCTAGATGGGCGTCCAAGGCCTTTGCATCCTTGGCGCGCGTCTTTGCTATCAGTTTGGACTGTATTGCTCCGCGCCAGCCACTTCAAACCGCGTCGGTCGGGATCAGCTCGGTGCCAAGCGTGCCCGCGCGTGCGATTTGCCGGTCCGCGCCCAGACGCCGCCGCAGCTCCCGCGTACGCCGCGGGCGAGGATCCCAGCGGCACCGGTGGCAGCGCGCGGCCAGATGTGTGGGCAATATTGACATCCACATCCAGTGCGTCTCGGACTTCCTTGGAGGGGGCGCCGCAAGGCCGAGGCGCACTGCACATGGATGAGACTCGAGCCGTTATGGGGCCAGTTTTTTTTGTTTTTTTGTTTTTTTGTTTTTTTGTTTTTTCTTTTCCGTATCCAGTGCGCGTCGGGTTTCTGGGGAAGGGAGCCCGAAGCTCCAACTGGCAGTGGGTATGGACAAGTGTTGCCAGCAACATGTGCTGAAGCGGCGGGGCTTCTTAGAAACCGTCCGGCTTTCTGAGAGGCGCTGCTTCTGTCCCAGGAGCAGGCCCGGGACACTTTTCCGAAGGCGGGAAGCCTTCCGAGCCTTCCGAGAAACCCTGCCCCCTTGGATTCCCCCCCCCGGCTCGCTGCCGATTGCGCCCTCACGCGTGTCCTCTCCAAGCAAGCTCGACCGTACAGTTCTATTCTTAAGTCGGGCGTGTCCCCCCACAGGGGGATTTTCGACGACAAATAGAAGAGACCCCCAAAATACGCCCAAACGGTCAAAAATATAAAAAATTAGCCTGGCGAAGGACCCAACCATACGCAGTTGTGAATGCCGCAATTGTGCTGGGTGGTGGCGGACGCATGCGGGCGGTGCCACTGGGACCTTCGGTGGAGCTCCCTATGGGGCCACGAAGCGCTGTACTGGGTGGGTGAGACGCGGTCAGCAAGGGCTGTGCTGCGTGGTGGCGGACGCATGCGAGCGGTGCCACTGGGACCTTCGGTGGAGCTCCCTATGGGGCCACGAAACGCTGTACTGGGTGGGTGAAACGCAGGCAGGGAGCAAGGGCTGCGCAGGGTGGTGGCGGACGCATGCGGGCGGTGCCGCTGGGACCTTTGGTGGAGCTCCCTATAGGGCTACGAAGCGCTGTTCTGGGTGGGTGAAGCGCAGGGAACAAGGGCTGTGCTGGGTGGTGGCGGACGCAAGCGGGCAGTGCCACTGGGACCTTTGGTGGAGCCCCCTATGGGGCCACGAAACGTGCGAGGGGTGTGCCAGAATGGGGTGTGGAACCGCATGCCAGCGCAGCCACTGGGGCCTTCGGTGGAGCTCCCAATGGAGCCACGAAACGTGTGAGGGGTGTGCCGAAATGGGGGTGGAACCGCATGCGAGCGCAGCCACTGCGGCGTTCGGTGGAGCTCCCTATGGGGCCACGAGACGTGTGAAGGGCGTGCCGAAAAAGGGGGTGGAACCGCATGCGAGCGCAGCCACTGGGGCCTTCGGTGGAGCTCTCTATGGGGCCACGAACCGTGTGAGGGGTGTGCCGAAATGGGGGGGGGACCACATGCGAGCGCAGCCACTGGGGCGTTCGGTGGAGCTCCCCATGGAGCCACCCACGAAGCGTGTGAGGGGTGTGCCAGAATGGGGGGTGGAACCGCATGCGAGCGCAGCCACTGGAGCGTTCGGTGGAGCTCCCTATGGGGCCACGAAACGTGTGAGGGGTGTGCCAGAATGGGGGGTGGAACCGCATGCGGGCGCAGCCACTGGGGCCTTCGGTGGAGCTCCCTATGGGGCCACGAAACGTGTGAGGGGTGTGCCAGAATGGGGGGTGGAACCGCATGCGGGCGCAGCCACTGGGGCCTTCGGTGGAGCTCCCTATGGGGCCACGAAACGTGTGAGGGGTGTGCCAGAATGGGGGGTGGAACCGCATGCGGGCGCAGCCACTGGGGCCTTCGGTGGAGCTCCCTATGGGGCCACGAAACGTGTGAGGGGTGTGCCAGAATGGGGGGTGGAACCGCATGCGGGCGCAGCCACTGGGGCCTTCGGTGGAGCTCCCTATGGGGCCACGAAACGTGTGAGGGGTGTGCCAGAATGGGGGGTGGAACCGCATGCGGG